CAACTACTAGCATTTCCTAGAGGTTCAACTGCACCTAGACCAAGGTGTGAACTATTAGCTAAAAATTGCCAACCCATACATTTTGCTAATGCTTGTACTGCTGTTATTTGATGCTGATAGATCTGTAATGATATAACAAATAATTATGAATATATTCAATAAAGATAAAAATATAAAATATATATATATATTACCTGACAAAATATCAAATCACGTAATTCTTGAGGTTCATAACTCATATGCATTACTCTACCATCTCGGCACACACATTTGAGAGATTTTTCTCCTATATGAACAACAAGTGATGTTCGATATACAGTGTCATATCCATGTGTTAAAATATTAATCTTTACACAAGATTGTGTAGGAGAATTTAATGCATTCCAATGAGATACAATCAAAGGATCTTTTACTTCTTTTGCTATTGTATCTAATACATATTCTGTACGCAATCGCATAAAATAATGTTGAGCCTGTTGGATAATTTGTTCTAAGAGAGTTTGACTTTTTGTCATTTCTAAAAGTTCGTATCGATCGGCAGCTGTTGGACCAGCTAAACATCTTCTTTTACTGGGCCCAAGAGGTCCAGAAGAGGGATGTGGAAATGGATGATGAGTATTTTTGTGATGAACTTCACGTAAAAGTTGATGCAAAGAATGCTCTAACACGTGATCATGTTCGCTTTTATGAGGAGGAGGAGCAGTTGGTTTTTTATCGTTTCCCGTACTATGACAAAGTCCTATAATTAACTGAATTCCAGGCAGCACCTAAATTATAAATATTTATATACAATGCATGATAAATAAGTATATATAACAGTTAATAACAAGAAAGAAATTACTGTTGCCATGATTTGATTGCCAACAACCATATGAGGTATAGGCGCGCGTAAATGTACAGCTTCTCTTGCTAATTGACTGAACAATTCTTTACAAAAAAGAACATTTTGTGCAGCTTCCAATTTTTGTTGCCAGTGCATATCTGCATTAGAACTATGTGCACTGTTATTAAGTAAACTAATATTTGCACTACATAAATCCTCTTGATCTACAAAAAAAATTAAACAAAAATTATATATTAAATAAAAACTTTTAAAAATAAGATTTCCAACATAAATATATATTTATACACTTTTACCTTTTTGACATAATACTTCTATATAAGCAACACCCTGTAATTCACTTGGAATAGTAACTCTCAATGCAGATGCTTTGGAATTTGGAGGATGAGCCTGGCCAGATGTATTATTACTAGCATTTGGAGATGCAGGAGGGCTTGTACTATTCTTTTCTTCTTCTTCTGCTTTTGTAACTTCAAACATACCTGTCTGAGGGAATTTAGATCCAGCTGTAATGTTTTATAATATTAATGTTAAATTATGTAATTTTAAATATTTATTTAATTATATAAAAAATAATTATAAACCTGTTCTATAACTAAGATCACCAATGATTGAATTAGAAACTTTTTTCAAACGCCAATTTTGTCTTAATCTTAATAATTCAATGTGAAAATCTGGAGTTGATCTATTTCTAGCTAATTCATTTTGACAATTTTTTAATCTATCAGCACCCATCATAATGACAGATGCAGCTCCAGCTAATGCTTTTTTCCTAGCATATACTTGTATCATAGGCTTTACTTCTGTTGGTTCTTGTGGTACTGGATCAAGAACCATATAATGTTTCTCTTTTGCTATTGCAAGAACATCTGCTAGCACACATACTTCTGTCAATGCATTCCTGTAAATATAAATATAAATATAAATATAAATATAAATATAAATAAGAATTTTTTACTTTAATAAAACTATATTTAAAAAATATTTAATAATATGCAACCTTAATTTATTTCTAACACTGTCCCATGGCCATAAAGATGACTGAAAAGAAGCAGAGTCTTTTGTATCTTCTTCACTTTTTTCTCCACTTTCTAATTCCTTTTTAACATCTTCACCATTAGTTTTACTGAAATCGATTTTTTGCGCGATTTTTGCCAAGTTTTCGGACAATGTAAGAGGTCTAAAAAATTATAAATTATTATGATTAATTACTTTAATTTATATAACGTTATATTTTAAAATATAAATAAAATATTTTTTTAATTTAGAGGTTAGGAACATATAATAATTTTATTTGTTACTTTGTATACATTCATAATTAACTTTTTATTTTATTTTATTAAACATTAAAAGAATAAACTACATACGCTTGATAAATTTCTTGACCATCATAAGTGATTTCCTGAATTTGATTCTCGATCGGTGCTTCTACAGAAATATTCACTGAATACGCCATTATTGTTTTCTTAAGGCAGAGTTACCAATAAGAAATTAAGTGATAGATAAAAATTTCTATAAAGAAATAAACTTTAATTTAAATAAATTCAAATCTAATATTGAAATACTATATTATTTTTCAATAGATATATCTATGCATCTTTTAAATAAATTATTTAAAAAATGCATATGTTTTACTTAAAATATTTTTAAAACAAAAATTTGAATAATTTTAATATTTAAGAACATAGACTAATAATTTAATGAGTTTAGGAAAGCTAAAATTTTGCCGGGATTTTGATCTGTATTTGCGTAAACGGCACGTAATTTGAGAAAGTAAAATAAAGAATTTGCAATATATAAGTATTATAACAATATGTCGAAAGTGAATACATTATATAATTATTTTACATCGCCTAAAACTCCTAAAACACCTAAACAATCAAATAATAAACAGATATCCGATGAAAAACCTACAACACCGAAAAGAGCAAGGGGACAATTGAACAAAGGTATATTATGAGAACAATTTATGTATAAATAATTTATTTAATATAATAATATAACATGCGATAAAATACATATTTTGGGCCGCATGTATTTTTATATTATGAAATTAAAATAGAAGTTTTTATAGAAAATTAGATTTTATAAAGTTTCGGAAAAATTTATATAAATAAATAATAATATTGATTAAAATTTTATATTTATTTCAATACAGTAAATGTTATATTAAATATTTGTTATTTTATTTTGTTATATAAGTAATGTAATTTTTCATATTATATGTAGTTAAAACTCCAAGTAAAGGGAAAGAAAATAAAAATCTTGAAGATAGAAAAAGAATATACAAAGATGATGAAGAAGAAGAAAAGGAAGAAAGTGAACCAATTCAAACAAAAAAACGAAGACTAATTATTCCTGATGAAGAATCTGGAGAAGATTCTGGAGATGAATTTAAACCTGGTTTGTGTTTGGTTAGAACATATTTTATTTTTTTTATAATAATAATAATAATAAATTATTATTATTATATTTTAGACCTAGATGATGAATCAGAAGAATCAGATTCAGGATCTGAAGGAGTTAGTGAAAGTGAACCACCAACTGCGAGTGAAGAAGAAACTCCAGAGGTAAAGAATTAATTATAGAAAGATAAAATATTTTTTTAAATTTCATATAGCTGAATATTAATTGTATTTTAGAAAAAACGGAAACTTATTAATTCTATTGGAAGAAAACAACAAAAAGGTGCAAAGAAAAATTTCAAAGAAGTAAGTTAACAATTATAAATTATTTTATTTTATTATTATTAAATATTCATTATCTAATAAATCTATTAAATTTTAATTAGGATAAAAAAGAATCAAAACTTCAACAACAAAATCAATCCCAAGGTTCAAATAATGTTATAGATTCTTGGCCACATTTAAAGTATGATTTTCTTCAACCAAATAAAATACGAGATATTAATAAAAAATCGCCAAAAGATTCAGATTATGATCCTAAAACTCTATATGTTCCTTTGGATTTTTTAAATCAACAAACTCCAGTAAGATATGAAATTAAATATTCTTCATTTTATTATTATTTAATTATTTTTTATTATTTTATTATTTTTTCATTTTATTTAACATTTTTTATATCATGATTTTTTTCAGGCTATGAGACAGTGGTGGGAATTGAAAAGTAAACATTTTGATTGTGTTCTTTTCTTTAAGCTAGGAAAATTTTATGAATTATATCATATGGATGCTGTAATAGGCGTTAATGAACTTCATCTTACCTATATGAGAGTATGTTTTTTATTATTTTAGAGAGTTTTAAGTTTTAAAAAAATTAATTATTTATAATTTTTTAGGGAGAATTTGCACATTCGGGATTTCCTGAAATTGGATATGGCCGTTTCTCGGCGAGTCTCATAGAAAGAGGATACAAAGTGGCGAGAGTAGAACAAACGGAAAATCCAGATATGATGGCACAACGTGTTAGCAATAGTATGATATCATAAAATATATTGTATATAATTTATAATTATTAATCTTAATTTAATTATACATATTGTTTTTAGTGATTAGACCAACAAAATTTGATAAAGTAGTTAAAAGAGAAATTTGCCAAATAACTTCTAAAGGTACAAGGGTGTACACTCCACAAGATATAGAACCATCTACACCGAATTCTAATTATTTATTATCAGTGATTGAAAAATGCCCATCTGGTTCTAACATATCTCATTATGGAGTCTGTTTCTTAGATACTACAATAGGAGATTTTTATCTTGGTCAATTTGAAGATGATCGATGTAATTCTAGATTATTAACTTTACTCGCTCATTATCCTCCAGTTCATGTAAGTATTTGTTTTCATAATCAAATAAATAAATCTATTATTTAAATTAATATTTTATAATTTATTAAATATTTATTTATTTTTATTTATTATTATTCTTTAGGTTGTTTATGAACGTGGTAATTTGTCTCAAAGAACATTACAAATTTTTAACAATAATTTAGCAGCATGTATTAAAGAATCACTTTTACGCGAATCTCAATTTTGGTCATCTTCGACTACATTAAAAGTAAGTTTAGCATATTTATGTGCAATATCTAAAAAATTTTATTTAAAATCTTATTTAAAAAGTCTTTTTTAATTTACAGAATCTTCATGAAGGAGATTATTTTAAAAAATCAGATTCTGAATTTCAATGGCCTACAGGCTTACAATCATATCTTAATAAAAGTAAATATTTTTAATATAATTTTTTAATAAAAGTAATTAATTAAAGTTTTTCTGACATTTTTATTTTTTTAGATGATAGTTTAGGTTTAACTCCTGCTGAAGATAAAGAATTAGCAGTACATGCTTTAGGTGGATGTGCATATTTACTTAAAGAATATCTGCTTGAACAACAATTATTGGCGCAGGGACGTTTTAAAACATATGTTCCTCCAGATTTTTCAAATAAAACATTTGAAACTTCCAAATTTGCAAATAATATGGTAATTATGAATTTCATTTAATTATATATGACATTAATTTATTAATATTATCATTATTAGGTTTTAGATGCTATCACGATTAATAATTTGAGAATTTTCGGGGAAGGTTCTCTTATAAAAACGCTAGATCGTTGTTGTACCGCATTTGGAAAAAGGTATATTTAAAATAAATATATAAATATTTTAAAATCTAATAAAATATTTAATCGTAGATTGTTACGAGAATGGATTTGTAGACCATCTTGCCGAAAAAATGTTATAATTGAACGTCAAGAAGCTATACAAGAATTAATGGATCATTCAGAAGTAGTACAAACTACTCGTAGTATATTAGCAGGGCTTCCTGATCTTGAAAGATTATTGAGCAAGTGAGTTATATTATATTATAACAATTATATTATAACAATTAAAGATCATTAAAAATATTTGCATTTATAAGTGAATATTTTATGTACACAATTTTATAATATTAGGATTCATGCTCAAGGAAATCCGGCAAAACAAAATAATCATCCTGATGGCAGAGCTATCATGTTTGAGGGGCAAACGTATTCAAAGAAAAGAATTATAGATTTTATTACTACTTTGAATGGTTTTGAAGATGTCTTAAAAGTAATTGCTTTATTTGAAGGTAATTATATTATGTTATATGTAATAATTAGAATCGTTATACATATTATTTATTTTTTAGATTTCTGTAGCACCTTAATAAGCAAATGTACTAAAGTGGAACCAGGTGGTGAATTTCCTTCATTAAGAGAATCTTTAGATTATTTTAAGGTAATTAATATTTTCTATATATTATTAACCATTAATTGAAATACAAGCATGCAATATATGTTTTAGACTGCATTCGACCATGAAGAAGCCAAAAAAGTAGGTTGTATTGTTCCAAAGAAAGGAGTCGATTCCGAATATGATTCTGTTTTAATGGAACTTGAGGAAATAAAAAAAGATTCAGAACAATATCTTGAAAAGCAAAAAAAACACTTTGGGGTAAAAATCACGTTTCATGGTTCGGATAAAAAACGTTATCAGATCGAGATTCCAGATTCTCAAACAAAAAAAGTTGGTGCTGGATTTGAACTGCAATCACAAAGAAAAGGATACAAACGTTATTATACTGCAGAATCAAAGGTTTAACTTTTTTTAAAAATGATATAACATTTTCAAATAAAATAAAATGATTAAAATATTTTTTTCAGGAACTTTTAAGTCGACAAATAAATGCCGAAGAGCATAGAGATAAAGTATTGAAGGATTTAAATAGAAGAATATTTGCACAATTTAGCGAAAAATATGATATGTGGAATATGGCAGTTTATAAATTGTCTGTTTTAGATGTTCTTATTTCTTTAACAGAATACGCTCTCAGTGGTGATATGTGTGTACCGGAAATTAATGATGGTACAAATGAAAAGGTAAATTTAACATATTTCACTAATTTAATTATTATAAAATATTAGAAATTGTTAAAAAATATTTTCTTTTATAGATATTTATTGATATTCGAGACGGACGACATCCATGTATTATTTCAGATACATTTATACCAAATGATACTTTATTAGCAACTGAAAATTTCGCTTCTTTCATGATTCTCACTGGACCAAATATGGGTGGTAAATCAACATTGATGCGTCAGGTTGCCCTTCTCACTATAATGGCACAAATTGTATGTTTTAATAACATATAATATTTTAAACTACAAAAAACTGATTATTATATTTTATAGGGAAGTTATGTTCCTGCAAGTTCCTGTCGTTTAACATTAGTAGATCGTATTTTCACGAGATTGGGAGCAAATGACGATATTTTGGCTGGTCAGAGTACATTCTTAGTAGAATTAAGCGAAACTTCTGCAATATTACAGCATGCTACACCATATTCTCTCGTATTACTCGATGAATTAGGTATAAATTTAATTAAAGTTATTATGAAATTATTAATTATATATTAATTAAAAAATAATTTAATTTAATATTAATAGGACGTGGTACATCGACGTATGATGGTACGGCAATTGCTGCTGCAGTTGTAAATGCACTTACAAAATTAAACTGTCGTACTTTATTTTCGACGCATTATCATTCTTTGGTAGAAGATTATAAAAATAATAAGAAAATTACATTAGCTCATATGGTATATAAAAAAAATTCTTATACATTTTTCTTTTTGATTGTCTTTTGTTTCTTTTTTAACTTCTTTGAAGTATTGTTTTAATTCTAAAAATTTTTTTACTCCATTTTTTAGTTTTATAAATATTTATCTTATTTTTTGTAGGCATGCATGGTAGAAAATGAGGAACAAGATAAAGTATCCCAAGAAACAGTAACATTTTTATACAAACTCGGCGAAGGAGCTTGTCCGAAATCATATGGTTTCAACGCTGCCCGATTAGGTGGTGTTCCAGCTGTAATTACAAGTAGAGCACATGAGATTTCAAAGAAACTCGAAAAAGAAACAAATCAAAAACATTTCTTTACTACTTTGTGTAAAGCGAATGGTTCAACTATAAGGGATCTAATTGCTGCAATGTGAAAAACTGTGAAAAATGAGTAGATATTAAATATTTATCAGCATGTTTAATTAACTTCAGTTACCCTACAGTATTATATTTTTTATATAGTATTCATAATGTATATTTATTATGGTTTGTTATAGCTTACCATTTTTTTTTATTTGATATTATCATATATTTTAATAATAAAAGATTCTATAAATGCAAACTTAGTATTACTTTTATGACATGAATGGGACAATAATGAATAAAAAAAGAAAACAATTGTTGCTTACAAAATTTTATTAATTAATGCCAGAGTACAAAAGAGCTACTTATGAGACGAGAATATGATGCAATACAAACAATATAATTTTTTACTCACACCAAAATGATGAAGAAATATTATTTCTTCTCTTTTTCTTTTTTTTTATTTCGAGTGTAAGAGAAATCGTGTGCACGAATCTTATTATGAAATAATAAATACAATTCCTTACATTATTGTGAAATAACAAAGAAGCAAATAGCGAACAACTATAAAAAATGAATGATTATTAATTATTTCATCTGATAGAATTATGTTGAATCTTTGTTTCAAAAAGAGTAAGTATTACAGCGATAAATAGAATTAAACCTAATCCTTTATGTATATTGATAAATCGATTAAGGATGATTATTTGTGTAAATAGTAAATTTGCTACTAATATTATTTTCATGATTATTACGCTTCGATGCCTGAAAGTCATTTTTCTGTTTTTTTTTCTTTTTTTTTTTTTTTTTTTTTAATTGAATGAATGAAAAAACTTAAAACAATCAACAGAGAAAAAGGAACTGTGCTCTCTATAAAATTATACAAATGGCGTTCATGCAGAAGAAAAAACTAGATACGATTATTAAAAAGGCACAAAAATTAAGAAAGCACTTGACCATATTTTTTTTAATGGGTTATATATGATGTATTTTTATTATCATTATTAATATTATTATTATTATTAATATTATTATTATTATTATTATTGTGGTTGTTATTTTTTTTTTCTTCTTTCGTATAATAACACATGCCTACTTCTAATATACAATTCCGAGGTTTTATCGAACGTTTTCTAATTTTATAATTATTCCTTATTATATTCAAGTTAATCACGATCTATCTCTCTATTTCATTCTGGACGTTCGTACCTTTTTTTTCTCTTAATTTTTCGCTATTCATCATCAAACAAGTTACGATTTGATTTATTTATCCGAAGAAAAAATCAATCGACAACAGTCTATCAATTTAAAAAAAACATGATTTTCATGGCGCTCACTTCTAAATTTTTATCTTTCAAAATTTGGCAGGATTCATTTTTCAATCGATCTATTTTTTCTTTCCCTTTCTACATCCTTCACAATTTTTATATTTCGAAAAACTCCATCGTGAAAAAAAAGAAAGAAAAAAATCATTTTTATTCGTCTTTTGTGTCTTTCTCTCTCCTTTTATAATATATTCCATACTTTTTTCCTCTTTCACTCTCTTTTTCTCTTTCTTTCTTACTCTCTGTTCTCGTTATTCTCTTATCAATATAGGATTAACGGTTCAAAGAATATCGATACCTTAGAATAACACGATCTCTGGAATATTATAGAAAGTGCAGTTCAAAAGAAGAACAGCCGGACATTGGAAAGGGGTAGAGAGGCAAAAATTCTCTCGAAAACAAAGTATATTCGAGAAAAACTATTTTACATCCTTCTTCAAAATTTTTTTTTTAACTTTCATGATTCAAAAAACATGGACAATTTTTACTTTCCCCTGAATAAAATTATGCGCTTACAAAAAAATCGTGAAAATGGGGATTTTTAGAAGAGAAAAGGAATGACGTATTTATTTTTATTTTTCTCCTTTTTTTTCTTTTTTTTATAGTGAAAACCGAACAACTATTCTACTCACTTCGGCAATTAGGACCTAAGAATTGTCACAAAGATGACAGTTTGCTCTTTTCAGTTTACTTTCTCTGTCTTCTTGCATTAACCCTTCCAGTGAAATGTCTAACTTAACGAAAGAATATTATTTAGTCATCGTAAAAATCGATTTCTTTCAATTGAACAGAAAGATCAATAAAAAAAACGCGAAAGAAAAATAAATAAATAAAAGACGAACATTGTTAACTAACGTCAATGATTTCAGAGAGAAAAATCTAGAACATAAAACGAAAAATAGTCAAATATAAAAAAGTGAAAATAACGAATGTAAGTTAACTTATGAATAAATCCAAATAAGATACGATTTTTGGAATATAAATTTAGAATACAATACAAACCTGAATAATTCGTATTTATATCATATAATCTTTAAATTTCCACTTCTTTTCAATCTACGTAATATAAAAACTCATTCGTATTTCGAACGAACAATATAAATCACGAACCATAATTAATATTGAAACGAATCTAACTACAAAAATCAACATGACATATCCATCTATCGTCGCATATGAATAATATAAATCAAAAGAATACAATTCATCATTCGAAAGAATTCGTACAATCAGTTTTCCTTCCTTTTCTTTATCGAAACAAGGGATCAACCAATTCACAGCAATATTCTTGAAGTGATATTAATGAAGATCCGATTTTCTTCAAATTTACCAATACTGGAAGGGTTTACGACGCCAATCGAAAGGAAAATGCCGATTAGCGGTTGTCCAAGAGGCCACAGATTTTTACCACAGTCCAGATGAATATCCACCAGGTGGCACGCGTGTACGTGCCGGAACTTTTGCTGCTGGCGATGTATCGTTCGATTTCTCGCTGGAATTCGAGCTAGTCGTTCCATTTTGGACAGCTGGTCCGTTGTTTTGTGATTCTCCATAACCAATTCCGGTTACCGGATTACCATCTGTGAAGAATATTTTTTCATCTGTCAATAAACATTCTAAAATATAAAGTATGGATTCGATATTTCTCATTTTTATACAAATTTTGTTATTTGATTTTGGATAGTATTTGTTTCGACTAGGACTAATCGAATCGAATCCAATAAATCGAAAAATTTATAAACTGTGAAAGTGTATATAGGAATCGCGTAATATTATTTAATGGTTAATTGAAAGTTTTTGCTCTAATATTCGTGGATTATTTCTCTATGGATCTATTATAACGAAGATTTGGTGATTTTGTGATTTAATATAATTGAATTAAAATAATTTGGTTGAAATTTAATTCTGTGATTAAAATAAAGATTTTCAAATGTAAATAAGATTTTTTCTTTGTAAAGAATTTTATGCAGTACCATTGAAATTTATTGAAAATTGATTGTTTCTTCAAAATATTATCTTCATTATCTCTATAGTTTTTCATAAATTTTGAATGAAAAACCTCAGGAAAATTCTTTTTTTGTTCTACACTATTTACTTTTGTATAATAATTTCGAAACATCAAAATGTTTTTACAAAAAATCACTTTACATTTGAATATCTTAATTATTTTTAACTAAATATCTACAATATTACAATTTTAGATTTTTTTACTTTTTCTCGTTGTTATGATTTCTCTATTTGTTGTAATAAAATTGATTTTAAACTGGTTACATGCAATAATTTCATATCAGGAATATAAAAAATTATTGTGTTATATTTAAACAAACAAAACGAAAGAGAAAAAAATATTGACCAGATTATAGTGATATATAATTGCGTTTTTTTTTTTATACACCTGATATCCATGTGGTGATATAACATCGATAAGGAAATCGAAATTTCACGCGAAATCCACATGCTGGCACTCTCCCTTCGCGATTTTTTTTCTATATCTCCCGTGCACACCCGTGAAAGGGGGACAGGGACACACAGGTAATTTACTCGACAGGCAATTAAGCGTAAAACATAAAGAACAACCAATCGGATTCGATGCATTGATAAAGAACGATCAGATATAAAATATTCGTGAGATCTACTCTGAAGGACTTACATTATGCAAGACAAGGAATGTGTAATCGTCTACTACATAGAATACGAACTTACCGTACTATATTATAAACTATTTTGTTTGTATGAGTGTTGATCTATGGGAATTTTTTAAAGAATTGCTCGAATTCATTATATTTATTTATTTATTTTTATTTTTAAATACAAATATTTTTCAAAATGAATTCAAGCAAATCTAGGACATGGAAATATATATAACATAAATATGCGTACAAGCAATAATAAATTTTAATTTTAGATGGCAAGTAATTTTAGAGATTAATCAAGATAGAAATATTTCATATTCTTTTTTCTTTTAAATTATCAATTACCTTCCATTTAGATTTAAGATTATATTTTATAGACTTTTGAAAAACAAAAATTACAAATAAAATAAATCAAGTAAGTAGTTGAACACTAAAATTAGTCATTATTTTAATTCTGAAATTAATAACATATATATATACACAAAAAAAATACACTGTAAAGAAAAGAAATACATAAAGATATATTATAAATAGATTTCAATGTTCAACAATGACTACACAAATTGTATATCGAAGAAGGCTATATAAGGAAAAGAAATGATAAAACAGTGAAAGTTGAAATCGATTAATAAAAAATTAAATTTATATCTTCTCTCTTTCTCCATAATGTCCAAAACCATAAAAGGATAACTCGTATGAAAAAGAATTTATCAATAAATTTGATTTAATTGAATTATCACGATTTTGAATTGATTCATTCTCCTAAACAATCAAATATCGATATCGATTCAAGATTCAAGCATATATAAACACAAATATTCATATGAATTCTTTCCAAAATAAAATCGACTCCACTTTTTTCCAAACATAACCTAATCAATCCTATACATATCCTATATTTTACCATAGGAATAAATTTTATTCAATTTGTAAATAATACTATATTATATACACATTTGTATTTACAGTTACAGATGTTATCGAAATCAATTTTTATTCTAAAGAAATTTTTATTTTAATTGTTTCTTATGTTAAAAGGATTAAATAATTGAATATTTTGATTTCATTATTATTTTTATTTCAAATAAAAAATTCCTATAATTCTTTAGTAACTTTCCCCTATGTTTCTTTAGTAACTTTCCCTTATATTTCTTTAGTAACTTTCCCCTGTATTTCTTTAGTAACTAGTAATATTCTTTAGTAACTTTCCTTTGTTTCTAAATAAATCTAAAAACAGTGATCCTTTGATAGCCTTGGATGACGTTTATATGACGTCTTTTCTTCTGTTATTGTTCGATGGAAAACTAATCAAATGAAGTATTTTTTCGGAAAAGAGGATGGAACGAATAATCGGAGTGTACGAAAAAAATGCATCGTCAAAAATGATCAAAAGACCTGATTATCTTGAAAGAAACAAACATAGAGTAAAATTGAAAAAGAAAGAGAGAGATAAAAAAGAAGAATGGATAAACGTTACCTCGACACCTTCGTGTGCTGCGCCTTATAGGCGTCACGTCAACTCCGTCTCCGGTGACCGGGTTGCGCATTAAGCAGGACGATCCACCTGCCAGGGTTCGAGCGGGTAGGAAGGCGTAGAGGATGACAGTTTCACAGCCGGTGCACGCAAAGCGACACGCGCCAGAATTTCATCATCACCACCATCACCACCACCCCCATGCACCGACACACAGGTAGCAAAACCCACATAACCGTCACCCAATCGTGTCTAAGTGTTAGTGCGCGCGACTATTCGCACGGATGAATGGAAGATATTCGTTTCTCGAAGGAATAATTTGCAAGATGGAAGGTAAAATAATTAGTTTTTTTTGATTTTCAAATATTTTGAATTTTTGGATTTGAAAATTTCTAAATTCTAAACCATTTAATTTCTGAATTTTTAAATTTTTTAAACTCTTTGTTTTTGACTTTTGAAATTTTATGATTAAGTATCTAAAGTGTCAATTTTTTTGAAACTAGATATTAAAATACTATTGAAATAATGATGATAATATCTTGAATTGATCCGTGCGAAGAGGAACGAGTACGAAAATAAGAAAGAAACCAAAAGAATGTTATTAATACTACGTTTTATGTGAAATAAAGCAAGCAAAAGCAAAGAAACAAACAAATTACAAGGAAATTAACAAGAAAAACACAAAATACGGAGATTAAATAGAAAGAAAAATTACTATTTTCAATCTTTTAATAAGTAAGAATGCCACACGTGTGAAATCCAAGCAATGAGTCGTGATGAAATCATACAAATAAAGTTCGTGAACGATCGATGAGCGATCGTAAAAAAAAAAAAAAAAAATAAAAAAAAA